TCTCAGGTAGTTTCACCCATTAAGTTACATCTGTAAATTTAATTAGAATTTGGGGTTTATTTGTGAATTGCATATTAACTGACCTTTGTTGTATCTTTTAAACATATTTTTGACACTGGTGTCTTGCCTATTGGATTGCTTCTATTTTCTGCTGTTTGGTATTTTGTGCTCAGGAGTTTTTTGAAGATGTGCCTTTGATTAGTTCAGTCTTCACAGAGAGATTTTTTAAAAAATGACTATGTGAAAAAGTCCTTTGATCTAGTTCCATAACTGCAACCACACCACAACCCTCGTATAGACACACACACACACACACACACACACACGAGTTCATCTCTTCTTCCACTCATTTGTCCAAGTGCAACTAAGCTATGCGGAGGTGCCTTGAAATAAAGACTATGCCCATGACTGTCACAGCTGTCATGCCATGAGAATTTATAGCACACACAACTTCAAATCTAAATTTGACAGATGACTTGAGGAAAAAATAAGGTATATATTCTAACATCTGTTTCTTCTTCTTTCCACAATGGATTTGTTGCATCTAATTTTCTTTGTAGATTGAATATGGATTATGATAGGCGATTTTATTTTCTAAAGTGCTATATATCTCTAGCCAGAGATTGGAAAGTGCATCTTCCATCTAAGAACTGTTCTCAAATACAGAAACAGATAAAATTTATGAAGGAAGTGTTCCTAGAAGAAGATTGCTTAGTCATAGATAAGATAATTAGGTCACAATTATATTATTAACTTAATAAATTTTGTGATAGACAGTTTATGTGTTAAAATAGCTCATTTTAAGTAAAAAACAATAACCTTTTCCATTCTTTTTCATTATATTTATTTTTCTAAAAGCTGATCTCTATACACAGTCCTTTCACTAGTCAGTCTGATACCACAACTGAATAAAACGTTCTCTTTACAAACGTATTCAGAAACACATCCATATAATCCATGATAACTTTAGATTATTTAAAGGAAATGTTATTTAAAAATCAAACTACTAATTTTAGTAGGTTAATATTAAAGAAAAATGCTGAAATGGGGAAAAGCAAGAAGCAGACACCAATGGCAGCACAGGTGTTGTTATAACCTTTTAATGCCTTAGAAAGACTACACATTAGTTCTATCTTTATTTTCTTTTATGGTTTTACTAGAGTTCATTGATCATTTGTCAATTTATGCATTCTATATTTTAGAATGAAGTTTGACTTTCCATTAGATTCCCTTTGTTTTTTTCTCCATTTATGAACTAGAAAAATTACTGAGACTATAATTGTTTATGACTATAAGATCAATAATTGGCTTTAGTACATTCATTGAGAAATGCAATAATTTCTTAGTGAGCATGTTTTAATCATAAGATTCCAACAAATACTCCTAGACTCTACATCACTTTGAGATATTCCCCTTTTGACCAACCCTGGCAAAGACCTGAAGACAGTATTTGATTTATTATTAGATCAAAGAGCTGACTTAGAGCTGCCAATTTTTCCCCTCAGCATAATCCTCCTCTAAATTGCTACTATCTGACTGAAGCCCTCAGGTGTCATGCAGCCTGCAAGAGTCACCACAGGTGAGGTGTTCCTGGAATGGGAGTTTGCCCCTAACAAATAGAAGACTCCTCAGCTAAGTGAAGGACAACATAGGCTACCCTTCAGTGTCAGAAGCCATAACATAACCTCTGCACACCCAAGTTGAAGGGTTAAGCAGAAGCATAATAAATAAAATGAAACTCAAGATTGAAGAAATGGACAATAGAGTGTGTTCACACTTGGTGAAACAGGTGCTGTGTCTATACCCCAAAATGCTGGAAATCTGGGCATTCATCAGAGCTGCCAAGATCTGTGAAGGGTCTGATATTTTACTCTATTTACAAGCTGACAAGTTAGTTTCATGGATGTTGGTGGGAGACACAAGGTTCCTGGGACAGAGAGAAAAGAATTTATTATTCATAGCACAGCAGGCAGCATGAGCATTCACCTATTTGTATCCATTTCCTTTGCCCGAAAGTTCTACAGAGGTAACATGGATGGTCACATACAGCAGGTTCCATTTCAGGAGAGGAACCCAAATCTATCACATGGGACATTAAGCCAGTCTTCAGCATCTGAGAAGGGAAAGGTAGTTAACACCACTTCCAGAAGGAGATGTGGCATAGAGGAAGTATCAGTGGCACAGGCAGAGAAAGGGAAACCAATCTCATCTAGATTTCCATGCACGAAAGGAAGAAAGGAGTCAGTAGGTAAGAAAGTAGGTGAAATGACACTTGCATCCTGACCTCCCTAGAGTCCCAGTGTTGGTAAGATGGGACAAAGAAAGTTGAAAGCAGAAGTCACTTACTTCCTGACTGGGATTTGTAATTTGGGTTCTCTGGAAGCAGATGCTGAGATGGAGTTTGGGATGCAAGACATATATCAGGGATCAGAGATTGTAGAAGGTTCAGGGGAGAAAAAGGATTAGACAGAGAGAGAGGTTGAGTGTCAAGAAAGGGCCAGCAAAGCCTCAGCCAACCTCATGGGGAACTGGGACGTGAATGGCAAGCCGGAGTCTCCCTGTGCTGAGCAGAAACAGCCAGGCTGTGATCCACCCGCCACATTCAGTCAGTGGACATCAGCATCCTGGTGAGGTGGTCTCTTGGGTGGGGCAGCTCTGACACTAAGGTGCACCCAGAAGGAGCTGACAGCTGTCTGCTGACCACATTCACGCTGCTATGGCAACAGTGGGCACCTCTGCATGCATCACAGCCCACCCCTCGTCCCCGTTGGGTCCACTTCTCCTTGCAACTGTGCTAAGCAGATCCTGATGAGCCTTTTCTCTCTGGAGAAACTTAGAAGAAGGTTGGAAGGATAAACTACATACCTTGCCTCTGCAGCTGGGCTCAGGGCCGCAGTTAATGCTAATGATGCTCCTTAGCCACTGTTTGTTCTAGTTCTCCCTCACCTCAGCCACCACCTCTGTGGTGTCAGTGGCTTGCTGGGTGGCACGGCTCAGATCTTCACCCTTGAAGTCTCTGAACCCCTGGTCATCACTCCTTTCTCTGGGAAGGGTGGCTTGACTCCATCCTTGACCATCAGAATTCGGTAGCAGAGCACCAACTGCTGCTCGCCTTCTTCCCTGTTCCTCCTCCTAGCAGCAGCCCTGCCTGTCCCTAATGGTCAGTCGCAACTCCCTCTGCCAGGATGGGGAGTTCTCCTTTCACCTGTCGGCTCTTGGATACAGGAGTCCAAAGGGTCCCAGCAGCAGCCACAGCTTGTAGTCCAGCAGAGCCCTGGCTGTGTCCACTCATAAAAGAGAGCCTCCTCTAGGGACCCAGGCCTTACCTTGGGGAGGACAGGAAACACGAACCCTCTCATTCAGCCACTAAGAAGGATAATGACCGAGACCACTCCACTTCATCCTTTGCTTCCTGGGCCCAGGCTTTCTCCCTATGGGAGACCTAGCACCATCTAAAGGGGTTAGGTTAAATGTGCACAGTATATCTGGAAGATAGTGCTGCATTTGCAGATGGTATTACCTCCAAGCTGGTGCTCCAATTGTACCTGCAGCAGGCTGTTCTGACCTTCTATTTGGCTAGTAGATTCTGCATGGAGGGTTATGTGGTACAACCAGTGGGTCCCATGGTTGCAATAGTGGGCCTAGGCTGATGCGATGTGTGGGGCCCAAGCTGGTAGACCAAGCACTATGTGTGCTGCTGCCTGAGGGCCAGGTACTGTAAGCCAAGTAACCACATCAGAAGTAACAGCTAGAACTGTGGCTGAGACGTAGTTGAGTGTACGGACATCTTCAGAGGATACAGTGGGTCATGTGCGTGTCATTAACTTCTCCCATCCCCTGTCCTAGGAGATGACACTGTTGGCCAGGGATGCACTTTCAGAGGCTCAGGCAGGGATGTCCCCACTGTGGTAGCCCATATCCACAGAACCCAATGTAGGGTTTTGCCAAATACTAAATACATGGATCCCAATTATACATCCAGGGACTGGGGAAACGACAACTGGGTAGATCCACAGGACACAAGTTGGGTGCACATGTCCTAATTTTGTGGGGCTTCATTGTGGTTAGTCAGAGACTGAGACTGGACAAGGACCCCCACAAAAGGAAGGAATCAGAAGTTCCCAGTTACTCCTGGGGGATGTTGGAAAACTGGGTGGACCTGAAGGCCTTCCCTGAGGTGAAGTAGCCCCACAGCCAGCAGGAGACCCTCCTGGGGCTCTGTGACAGACACCGCAGGCCTCCCGCGGGCTGTGATCTAGCGAGGGCCATGGCGGGGCTGATTCATAGGGCAAAGGCCTGGACCCAGAGCTGTGAGAGGCGAAATCAGGGGTGTTGGCCTTGGGGCTTGGGAGAACCCCCCTCACCTGAGGGGAGATGAGACCCCACTGTGGACACTAGGGCAGGCAGTGACATTGTCCCCACCTCCTTGCCAAACACCACCAGTCTCACAGCTGCCTTCCTCACTCATACCATCATCATCTGGAAATCTGACAAGGCAGGGACAAACCTCCAAACAGATGAATTCCAGTTCTTCAATAAAGATTTACTGAATGCCAAAGCTATGCCGGGAACCTTTCCCGGTGACCAAAAGAGGGTGTTCAAACGGTTAGGTCACACTGAGGATGACAAATCTGATTGCATTTATTCTCCTTCTATCCAGAATGGTAGGAACTTATGCGAAAGACAGATTTGCTACAGATAAAGAGACTGCTTCTTTCTCTGACAAGCATGAGTTTCAGTGTGGGTGACTTGTGTGACAACCCACCCTAACTCCACTGCATCTAGCTTTTGCGATGTTGTATCTTTGTGCGCTCACCAGACACATACATGTTGTGTGTCCATCATGTGCCACCTGGGTGTCCCAGTGGTGATCAAACAGCCACCCTCCCTACCCTCCGTCCAAGAGAGAATGAGACACTAAGTAAACAGTGACAGGCTGAAAACGGGAGACGTGGTCTGTGAGGAAGGAGCACCGTGCTGAGCCGAGAGTGATGCCATGGGCAGTGCAGGCTGGACCCATTCCGGAAAAGGCCGTCTGCAGAGCGAGAAAGTCGAGATGGGGACATTGAGAAAGAGGCAGTTGTGAAAAGAGTCAGGAGGACACAGCTTTCCAAGAAAAGAGCTCGCAAAGGCAGATACGAGACAGGCTTTTAGAAGATTCTTGCGTGTTCTTACAGAAGACGAGAACTTACTCACTACTAGCATTGCACGATATAACTTTCCAGACCTCAGACGCAAATGCACGTGTTATGTTTAGTGTTATTTGAATATCAGTTGTGTTGTTAACTTTTCTTCGACATTATTTTAATGGCTATGGTAATACTTGTATGGGTATCTTGTAATTGATAGAATCAAACTCCTATTTTGGGTATTTGAATTGCCTCTAATTATTTTGCTATTATAAATAGTTCCCTAGAGGACATATTTGTGAGCCTTCAGATTACTTCTAGACATCAATTTGCTGATTCAGAGAGAATCCAAAATTGGCTTTGAAACATATTGTAAAATTGTAAGATTCTTCTTCCTTGAACCCTGGCCCGCTTCATCCTGTTGTACACTGTATTTAGTAGAATAGTCTCAAATTCAACGTGCACATGTGACAAGCAACACTAATAGTTCGAAAAAGATCAATTTCATTCTTGCCTTCTGCCCCCAACCCTCCTAGGCCTAGTGTCCTCCTCCTGGAGGCAATTTCTGGTTCTCCAGAAATGTGTTATTTATATAAGCATGTGTGTGTCTTTCCGTGTGTCCATTCTTTTCTTTTTAACATAAATGAGATAACATTTTAGATACCAATCTGTATTTTGGTATTTTCACCTACTGATCCATACTAATAACCTTTCCATATCAGCTAATACAGATTTATCAACTTGTTTTCAATGAGGACAGAGCATTCCATGGTTGCACCATAATTCATTTAGCCAATCTTTTATTATTGAATATTTAAGGTGTTCATTTTTTTTTACTTTTAATATTTTCCTTTAGATATATTTTACATACAGTGAAATTCTCTCTCTCTCTCAGACACACACATTTTATTTAATATAATTGTTGATGGTAATACATTGTATGGATAACTATAAATAGGAAAGCCAAACCCCCACTTTTTGATGTTTCCTGGCACCTTGATTCTTTTAAGCTTTGCTTTGAAATTTGTTAGGGCAGGACTGGAGTAGCCCTTCTGCTAAGATGCGTGGTCTTTCTTGGGTTGCGGTTAAATGCCCTGGATATTCTGGGAGGTTTTTTCTCTCTGGCTGGCTGGAATTTCCATCTTCCAGGTACCGGAGCTGCTCTCTCTGGGTCCCGGGAGCCCCACCTTCCTACACACGAAGCTTAGCTCTGGCTGGAGACTTGGGAGGACTTTGTGCATTTTTCTAGCCCTCTCACTGCAGAGCCTCCTCTCTCCAGGGTCCTGCCCTAAACTTCTGGCCACTTCAGCAGCCTCCAACCCAGCTTGGTGCCTCTTCCCTGCCTCTGGGTCCACAGACGGCCTTGAGGCAGAAAACTGGAGGGATCAGCGGGCTGGGTTTGTGCCTTTCTCTTCTCTCCAGGAACACAATCCTACACTTTTTGTTATCTGATATCTGAAAATTATTGCTTCTTACACTTTGTGCAGTTTTATAGTTAACTAATGCCAAAGAGACTGTTTTAGTACCTGCTACTTTATCACAGTCAACAGTCATCATCTCGTTTTATTTGCAAAATGAGTTTGTTATCAAAAGCCAATTTTCAATGGACATATGTATAGCTCTATGATTCTATATCTATTAATATAAATACCTTAAATAATTTGCTTTTGGTACCTATTGAAAGCAAAAATACTGAATCAAGATGTACAGTTTTTGAAATTTGTCTCCTAATTGTGCTATTCCTTTTAGCTATGTCTTGATATGCTTCAACAATAAATATGCAATTTAAATAGTTAATTTTATAATTAAAATAAATGGTGGTATATCCTGTACTTTTTTTTCAAGAAGTAAAACAGAGCTGTAATGAAATGGAAATCTTTCTGCTGAATTAGTATTCATCACTTTTAGATAAAAAACCAATATTAACAGTTTTCGTATGTATCTCAGAATTTTCTAGTTCTAAACACTGATGTTTTTCATTTTCTTTGTTTTCTGATATAAATGGGAATATATTTTTTGCATTGTTGTGAAATTTTGAAAGATTAACAAAATTTATTGAGTAAATTTTCATATTAGCACAATTAGGTCTACCAAATTTAAAAAACAGCTGTGAACTCCTCTTTCTAGATGTATTGTAATTTAATTAATCAGTTCCCTATTGATGAACATTAATATTGTCTTTAGTTTTCTTTTAGTGTTTCAAATAATGCTAGAGGAAAAATTCTTGTGCAGGCCTTTATGCAGACAGGTATGGTAATATACCTCCAAATTTTACAAAGTGAAATTGGTAGATCAAAGTAAATATGCATTTCTTTTTTTTGGCTATTGGTAAAATGCTCTCCAAAGAGATTCCATCAATTTATAGTCACATCACCAACAAATGAGACCACCTACTCACCCACATCCTCTGTATACTGTGAAAGATCAACTTCTCAATCTTTTCCAATCCAATCCGTTTAAAAAGTAGCATCTCATTTCAATTTATGATTATTTAACTATGAATGAGTTTGTACTTCTTTCTTTTTCTTCACATTGGTTTACATTTGAACTGCTGGTTCATGTCCTTTGAATAATAAACTTCAGTGGGGCCAAGCTGGTCAGGTAGCTACTGCTAATGCTATTGAATTATGATGAGTTAATCTAAGCAAGAAACTCATGAACAGTGTGCTTTACCCCAAGAAGATGTTTCTGAAGTTGGATATTTTTTTTTGGCATTTGTGACAGTTTTATTATAATGAATTTCATTCTCAAAAATTTTAATTCACATTGTGTGTATGTGTATGTTTGCTTATACCAATGTTTCTGCTTAAACATTTAAAATATAAAAAATTGGGGTCAATTCTTAAAAAAATCTAGCAATAATAAGTAAAGCCAACTCTTAGCTCACTTTTGGACAGCTAGCCTTCATCTGATGGCTGACTCTGTTATCCACATGCAGTCCTAATTCAGTTTCCTCTCCACGTCTCATAGGGGCCAGGGGAGATGTTGGCACTGCATGAGTCAAGAAAATGTCCAGTTTTAATGTCCAGTCTTGTTCATCATTATGAGCAAAGGAAGGCATCTTGAGTATGGTTCATGTGTGTGCCTGCTTAAGAGCCCATTTCCACCTCTGTGGGATCTGAGTAAAAGCTGACTACCAAGGACAGGATATAGGGACAGCTTTGCGTGAGCTTGTGTGAGATGAGTCCTGAGAAAGGCCATGGCTCACTTCTCAGCTGAATACTGGGCTTTGGAAACCCTATTGTATGCCAATATCATCGACCTACACATGATGTCACAAGATGGAGAAAATACTATAAATAGTATCCAAGTTCATAGCACAGAGTCTCCAAGGGCTGCGAGATGAAGGGCTGGCAGTGCTGGCACAATTTCTTGGCTCAAAGAAGGGCCATGGCAGAGACCAAGCTGAACTGTAGGTGCAGCCACTGCTCAAAGACAAGACCTCACCTCATTAATTTGGGTGATGAGGACATCAGACACTGCCACCCCCTGTGAATAGCCTTTTGTTTTGTTTTGTTTTTGGTGAATTCTTAAATAGCCTGTTAGCCACCATTGCAGCTCGAAAACTGTGACCTTCTAACAGTTACCATGGAAAGAATTCCTAGATTATAAATAATGACAATGTGAGTTTCCTAGTTACCAAGTGTATTTATAAAATGAATTCCAAAGGTACATGACATTTAATTCCAACCTATTTTTAGAAACTAAAGGATAATAAAGGAAAATATTAATGCTTTTTTGCAGAAGAGAAAAAACTGTAATATTTTCCCAAATCTAATTATAGAGTAGTAGATCTATATGGCTATTAGGAAAAAAATAAAGATTTTTAGTAATACACTCTCCTTAGGGATTTAAAGAAAGTACTTACAATAATGTAGATTTTAGTGTTACATCAGGTTACCATGACCATGCATGGGATTAGATTTATAAAGTTTATCTTAGAAATAAACAGATGCAGTGTCCCTTGATAATTTTTGTCAGACACATAAATTGGGAGAACTGCTATGTCTTCTCTTTTACAACATTATTTTTATTAAAGACAGTTATCATTTCTCATTAAAAAACTCTTGAAAGCAAAGATTTAACTGGAGAAGTCACAATCCAAAAAGGGGAATGAGGATTTCTAAAGAACATATTTTAAAAAAGAAAAGCTACTTAAATTGACTGTAAATCACATTTTAATGTGCTGTAGAAATGCTAGTTCAAAATAGATATTAAAGCAATGAAAACACAGTAATTTTTAAATCTGACTAATATTTTGTCTTTTCCAAACACTATTCCAGGAGATGTCTCAAAGAAGTTTACACATCTTGTTTCTTCAACTTGGTGGCAACATCTCATAATTGAGAAATTTTCTCCTTTCTGAATCTTAAATCACATCTTATCTCTTGTCTTATAGTCTGAAACATGAAATTTGAGAATTAAAAATTTTTCTCTCTCCATATAATTTAATGTATCACTTATTGTATATTTGTAAGTTCTTTTGGTTCAATTTCAATAAATATTTATCATGCATTGTATTACTTTTCTATGCTGCAATAGCAAGTTACCATCAATTTAGTGGGTTAAAATACAAATTTATTATCTTACAGTTCTATAAGTCAAAAGTCTCACATGGTCTCCCAGGGCTAAAATCCAGGAGTGGGCAGGGCTGCGTGCCTTTTGGAGGCTCTAGGGCAGAACCCATTCTGTTGCCTTTCCAGTTTCTAGAGGCCACTGCATTCCTTGGCTGTGGTCCCTTTCTCTACCTTCAAAGGCAGTGACAGCAAATAGAGTCCTTCTCACACCACAGGCCTCTGACCTCTTCCATCCTCACATTTCCCCCCACACCGTCCCTCCCTCTGATAAGGACCTTTGGAATGACATCGCCCACACCTGGATAATCCAGGCTAATCTCCCCATCTCAAGGTCCTTAGTCACATCTATGAGGTCCTTTTTGTCACAAAGGTAACATACACAGTTCTGGTGATTAGCTCATGGTCATACTTGGGAAGGACACCATCATTCTGTCTGCCACAAGCATTTGTTTAGTCTTTCAAAAAATATTTCTTGAATACCTACATGTGTTCAATATAGTGCTGAAAGATGGCTAGAAAGATAACAGTTCCTAATACTGAAATAACTAATCATGTTTTAAATATCCACAATCAAAGTAAATATTGTCTAAATATATACGAAGCCTGGAACTAAGTAGTTTCATTTTTCAAAATTGAAATCTTGTGAATTTCTTCCCCTTTACTTCCTAGTGACTGTTGTTTCCACTCATTTGTTTGCCCAGATAAACAGATAAAGGATTCTCTGTACTTTGCCAACATTATGTGGCTCTATTTTTTTATTCTGTTGTTGGTTTCACCTCTTCTTATATCTCTTGTAATTTTAAATCTTCCTCTGCCAGCACTCAGCTCCCTCAGTTACATGCAGCGAATGTGGAAACGTGCCAAGCTCACAGCGGTGACTCTGGACTGGCAGTTATCGAGGTATCTACACAGACAGCTAAGAACAGAATCCAAGGCCTGGTGTTTGAAGCCTAGCATCTTCCCTTCTATTTTTTTTTTTCTTATGTGTTACTCATTTTGTTCTTTCTTTTCTTCTCCAACTATAGGAAATCACAGTGTTATAAAATTAAAAGGTATTTTTAACTGAGTCTAAATATCACATTAATTAGTTTAATTAACAGCAGACAAGTTGTTATCTAAATTACAGTTCAATATTAGCCTCATATTTAGAAATAAATTAATATGAATTTTATAATGATGCTAGTTATAGGTCAATACTAGTTTCAGGAGGCTATTGGTAGCAATTACATGCCTTCCTTCCTTCTGAAATCTGTCATCTTTGAGGTGCCCTCAAATGTTTGAGACACAATTGGAGCAGATCTCAAAGCTAAACCTTAGTGAAAAGAATATCATCAAATCCTGAGGATTCAAGTGAAATCAAGTCAATTATCAGCACTTCTTTAGATATGGGAGTCACTAGACTTTAGATCTTTATATGTAGGGTAAAGGCATTTCAGATTCTATAAATGATCAGAATATTAGACAAAATTCTGCCAATACCACCCCAAACTACAGCAGACTGCAAAAGCCGATGTCTTCACCACAAACAAGCACGGTAACTGGAAGAATAGAAGATTGGAGATTTGGATCCACACAACTCGGTCGTAGGCAGCAATAAGTAGCCAGGGGAACTTGCACAAATGCCTTAATTTCAGCGCTGATGTTTTTGCAAAATGAAGGTCTAAATCTTTTATCAATCACCTCTAAGATTTTTTTTTTCCATTTAAAACGTGTGTGTGTCCTTGTTTGCAATTCTAAAGTATTTTGGTCTCAGGATCCCTTTATATCCTTAAAAGATTATTGAGGACTCCAGAAAGCTTTTGTTGATGTAGGCTATACCTACTGATATTTACTGTATTAGAAATTAAAGGTTAGAAAAAAAAATTATTTATTAATTTATTTACAATTGGTAAGAAACCCATCACATGGTAACATAAATAACATATGTTTACTTAAAAATAACTCAAAACCAAAAACATTTATAATAGAATGCCATTGGTGGACATTTAAAAAAATCTCTTAAATATCTGGCTGAATAAAAGACAACTATATTCTCATCTGCTTCTGCAACTAGTCTGTTGTCACAAAACCTTTAGAAAACTCCACCTATATTCTTGTGAGACAAGGAAGGCTAAAAGGTAAAATAATGTCTCAATATTATTATGAAAGCAGATTTTAACTCTCAGAACCCCTAAAAGGATCTTGGGGTTCTCCCGATGTTTTGCCATCAGGATTTAGTAATGCCTCTCTACAAGTGGAGTTATTTTTTAGAGTCTGCTGAAGTGGGAAACTTAAAAATCCAGCTTATTGATCTATAGTTTTGTCATTCATTACATATTGACAAATTATAGTTGTATATATTCATGGGGTATAAAATGGTATTTGGTGGTATTATGCTATTTGAATACAATGTGGATAATTAAATCAAGCTAATTAACACATATATCACTTGAAATAGTTAACTTTTTTGTGATGAGAACATTTAAAATGTACTCTGAGCTATTTTGAAGTGTACTCCATCATTAGCTGTATTCATCACATTATGCCATATACCTCATAAACAAACAAACTTATTCCTTTTATCTGAGGATTTGTACTCTTAAACTACCTTCTCCCCACTTCTGCACCCCCAGCCTCTGGTATTCACCATTCTACTCTCTGCTTCTATGAGTTCAAAGTTTTAGGTTTAATTGGCACTTCCTTAGTGATGTTGAGCATTTTTTCATGTTATTTGTTAGCCATTCAAATATCTGCTTTTCAGAAATGCCTACTCAGGTCTTTCCCCTAATTCCTTAATTAGGTTTTTTGTTTCTATGGTTTGGGGTCAAATCTAAAAAAAAATTCAGATCATAGATCAAAGTGGTGTAACTTTTCTCCTGTTTTTTCTTAGTGTTTTTTATAATTTCATATCTTATATTTAAGTCTTTAATCCCTTTATAATTGACTGTTGTACATGGTGTGAGATAAGTGTCCAATTTCATTTTTTTGTATATAAATATCTAGTTTTTTCAACATCATTTATTGAAGAGACTGTCCTTTTTCCATTATATATTCTTGACATCTTAGTCAAAAATCAATTGATCATAGATGTATGGGTTCATTTCTGAGCGCTCCATTCTTTTTTTTTTTTAATTTAGCTGTGTCTATTTTTATGCCAGTACCAAGCTATTTTCATTGTCATAGCTTTGTGGTAGAGTTTAAAATGAAGTCTTACAATGCCTCCATCTTTGTTCTTTTGCTCATAATTGCCTTGGCTACCTAGAGTTGTTTTTTTTGTTGTTGTTTGTTTTGTTTTTTTATGTGTGTGTGTTCCCATATAAATTTCAGGATTATTTTTTCTATATCAATGAAAAATGACATTAAAATTTTGATACAGATTGTATGGAATCTGTATATGACTTTGGGTAGTATGGACTTTTCAGTAATATTGATTCTTCCAATCCATGAACACAGAATATCTTTCCATTTATTTGGGTCTTCTTCAATTTATTTCATTAATGTTTTATAGTTTTCAGTGTAGAAATATTTTATCTTCGTCAAATTTATTTCTAAGTATTTCTTTTATAGTTGTGAATAGGATTGCTTTCTCGATTTATTTTCAGATGATTTGTTGTTAGTGTAAAAAAACTCTACAGGATTCTGCATGTTGATTTTGTATCTGTAACTTTCCTGAATTCATTTATCAGTTTTAACAGTTTTGTGGTAGAATTTTTAGAAGTTTTCATACATAAGATCTAGTTATTAACAAACACTGACAGTTTTCACTTCTTCCTTTCCTATTTGAATGTCTCTTATTTCTTTTACTTGCCTTATTGCTCTGGCAAGAACTCCTGATACTATGTTGAATGGAAGTGTGAGAGTGGACATTCTTGTCTTACTCTGGATCTTAGAAATATTCCTTAAAAGGATTCCAATTTTTTTCCATTGAGTATAATGTATAATGATATAATGATAAGCTAGGGGCTTATCACATATGGCTTTTATTGTGTTGAAGTATATTGCTTCTA